TAATAATTTAATAATAATTTATTTCATACTTATTTTAAATATCTTTCTCTATTAATTTTTAACTAAATCAATTAAAATTATTCTAACTTATCTAAAAAATTTTAGCGTTAAGATATATATTAAATTATTAATTATGTAATTCGTACATTTCGGAAATTCTAGTCGGTTAAGTTTATTATACGGTCAATTTCAATTTCAATTTCATAAAATTTACTAGAATTTTAAAGTATATCAGTTTACATGTTTCTCCACATGTGTACAAAAGAAGTAAGAAAGCTAGGACGTTTCGCTTACCGGGTCTGCAGAGTCGGCTCCAGTGATAAGGGTTGCAGCATATGTATACGGGATCTTTAGCGGAATGACATATAGGTAGTCTCTTGAGCTCCGAGGAGTGCTCGAGATCCGGCCATCGCCAGATCTGACAACAAAGGAGGTGCGGGTCGCACGGGGCGCCGGTGCTCCTCTCGATCGCTGATCCTCTCATCGGTACGACGACACTGCTACCGTTTCTCGCCGTTCTCATCGGCGACGCGGAGGAGGAATCCTCCGACGCGGAGCAGCAGCTCTCCTGATCGTCCTCGACGGAGGACGAGCGATGATGTCTGCTGGAGCGGTGGTGCCGATACTGACGATAACGGCGCTGATGAAAATGACGGGTATGATGACGATGCGGCCTGCTGCCGTGATATTGCTGCTGCTCGTGCTGCTGATCGTACGGATAATCCTCGATCTGACGCGGCACGAGAACGCAGGAGCTTAGGTCGGCGCCGTAGCTCTCGACGGCGGTGAGCAGCATCTCCAGTTGATTCTCCTTGAGCGACTTGAGGAGTTCCTTACACCTCAGCAACCGACCGGGATCTTGTTGCTGCTGCAGCTGCTGCTGCTGTTGTTCCTCATCGTCATCCTGACTTGTGTCACCGCCGCAACAGCCTTGATGCAACCTGCTGGATGCGGTATTGCGTCCCCCATAGACCACCGCTCCACCTCCTCCTCCACCTCCTCCTCCCCCTCCTCCTGCGCCGCTCCCCGACAACGTTGGTCCTCGCGCCGTAACCCTGCTCACTTGTCGGCCCGTCGTCGTCGCTTTGTTGTTGTTACTGCCCGTGTTGTCGTAGCCGGCGGCGGCGCCGCTCGCGTTGCTGCTGCTCGTGCGATGAAACGTACGTGACGATGAATCCTCTTGAGCTTCACACTCGGTTTCATGCTCCCCACGGACCTTGGCCTTTAGCAGACGTCTAGTGAGCACCGTCCGTTTGCTCCAGAACATCAACATGAAACAGGATTTGCGGTACGCGCATTTGGTGGCCAGTCCTTTTCAACGTAGCCGCCGTAGGAAAACAATAGGAGACCCCAACGGCTGGGGGGGAACTGGATAACACACACACACACAAATACACTCACACACGCGCACTCTTGCACGCGGTCGGTCGCAAGCAAGCAGGCAAGCTGCCGCGACCTTCCTCTTTGAGCACCCTTCTCCGCGAGGTCTCCTTCCTTCTCTTTTTCTTTTTTTTCTTCTTCTTCTTCTTCTTTCTTCCCTTCAGCGAGCATCAAATACACACTGTCAACGGAAAACACCTCTCCAACGCACACGAAAAAATCACAGACGATGGAGCCCTCACGCTCTCACATACACACATATACACACAACACAGTCGCGACGCTCGCGTGTATACTTATTTGTGCCCGCGCGCACTTTGGATCGCGGTCCCGAAATAGTGTGACAGTCCACAACGGCGGAGCTCCGATTCTTCTCTCTCTCTCTCTCTCTCTCTCTCTCTCTCTCTCTCTCTCTCTCTCTCTCTCTCCTGTCCTCTCTCCGACCGGCTGGCGACCAAGTGTGCGTTTCTCCGCCGATGATATTTCCGACTTCCAACGAGCGACAGCGAGGAACGGTCCGCCTTCTCCTTCGGATAAGTTTTTTTGGCCGAGTAAACGAGTTCGGGTCCAACAGCACTGCCGGCTGACCTTGAACTCTCATTTACCTCTCGTTCTCTTCTCTCGTAGCTCGACGCTTTTCAGCTCACGTGTCCTCGCTCAGATCGTCGACGAACATCTCGTGGTATCCTCGCGGGCAATCTGTAGTATCTGTATGACGGCCATGTGCGCGAGCCACTGTCGGCATCGCGGACACCAGTGGACGTCGTCGTCCGACGACGTTTTATAAGACGCACCACGCGGCACGCACGTACGCGTGTACGCACGCACGCATACAATACCGTCACCGTCACCGGCGAAGCTTTACCACCGACGAACGAGCGCACTGCTACTGATAGATGGTTGTATACGCTTCTTATCCGTCACATATACGACAGAAAGAGAGAGGAAAAAGAAGAGACCAGGCGTAAAGGGAGGGGAGGAAAAGGCGATGCGGTGAAAAGAAGGGTGGGGGGTAGGGACGAGAGAGGGTGAGCACGAAACGAATCGGTCGGCGCACGCACGACACCCGGCCTTTACTTTCCTCGGCGTATCGAGGGCGACGCGGTGCCTTAACCTCGCGACCCGGCACACCGACCGGCGGGCGTATACGTTGTGTCTGTGTGTGTGTGTGTGTGTGTGTGTGTGTAGGTGTACGATATACGTATGCACTTTACGAGAGACGGTGTATATAGTATACCCCGGCGCGACGCCGCGTCGCGAAAAAAAATCTCTCTTCAGGAGGTACCCGCCGCGATTCTCGCCAGCTGTTGACGCAGCAACAATAAGTAGCGCGACGACGACGACGTAGTCGTCGAACGACAGAAGGAGTCCGATTTCGATGATGCCCGCGGTTGCGGAGAGACGCGATAACGTCGTTCCCGGCGACCCGGCGCCCGTGCCGTCGCCAATCCCGGCACCACCGCGTCGGCGGCACCACGTAGCGACGATGACGACGACGACGACGACCGTCGCTGCCACCACCACCACCGCCGCCGCGGCGACACTCTAACAACCTCAGACTCGTGACCGTCGCTCCGTCGATCACTCCCCGTCATCCGTGCGCGCGTATCACCGAGTGACATTTTCCGCTTGCATCGTCCGTCTTTCTTCTCCCTTCTTCTTCTTCTTCTATCTCTTCGTTTCCACGGGCCGCTGTGCTCTTTCACCGTGACACGACGCCGCGACGATGGTTCACGACATCCATCATCGCCGCCGCTCCACCGTCACTGTCCACTGCTCTCTCGATGCACCACGTCCGTTCAACCGTCCGACCGTGAGGACACGCACTGTCACATTCTTGAAATCGCTGGCCCCCCCGTGGGATACAACGCGGGCAACACTCGCGCAGAGGCGGTACACTCGCGGTTTAAAGTACGAGAGAGCGAACGACGAGGGGATGGAGGGGGTGAGGGGAGGGGGAGGGGGAGGGAGAGAAAGACCCTCCAGAGAGGAGGAGCGGTGGGAGAAATCGACGCACACGACGAGACGGGATCTGGACGTGTAAAGTGTAAACTCGACGGAGAGGGCGAGAGAGGTCGTACGTATGGCGCCACAGAGAGAACGGCGCTTCTCCGATGACCAGCGATGTTTGCTCCTCTCTACGATTTAGCTTTTCGATCACCGTCCTTTTGCTCCTTCTTTTTCTACACGGAGAATTTCGATCGCTCGCGCGACGAATCGTTCCAACTTCGGAGCGAACGGGACGAACTGTTGCACACGACCGACAGTCCACTACGCGGGCACACAATCGCTCCGGACTCCGACTCGGCTAAGCTCGGCAACGCGACTGGCAGGCGGCACACACGAGGTTCTCCGTCATGAGCGCGCGCACCGCACCGATCTCCACCGCCACCGGCCGTCGTCGCCCCTCTTCCACACGTTTCTACTCCGCTACTCGACCGATCCTTCCCCTTCTCCGCGGCTCACCGCGGTTCGACGGCTCGGCTCGTCCCGGCACCGTCCGTTCCGTCTGTCCTGTCCTATCCTCTCCCGACGGCGCGCCGATACACTGACCGTAGCGTACTAAACACACAAGAGCGAAAGAGAGACCGTCAAACATGGCGTCTGCGGTAGTGCTACTAGCGCTACGGTCATCCGAGTAGCGGCGCTGAGGACTCCGGCGTCTCTCTCGCTCGCTTTGGCGCGGCGGCGCCTCGCGAAATCAAGGCACGTAGGCTACGCGAATCTCGGCGAAGCCGAAGCGCCGCCGCCGCCAACCTTTCCACTTAAATTCGAATTGCAACTTTTACGGCGTTATGCAAATATATGAATCACCTCGCGCGAATCACGTCTGGATTTGAAATTGCCTTTAAATATGCTAAATAATTTTACGTCTCTATTTATTTACATAGTAAACTAAATGTAGCCGCTTAGGAATTACGTCGCGATTTATTTACGTGTTTACGTTTCAACGAAAACAGTTGAAGCTTTTCTACACGTAAGAAAGCGAGCAGAATTAGACGATCGTAAACGAGGGTAAACGAGGAAGGAAAGAACGATTTTGCTGAAGTTCTAAAAATTTAGGTAGATACAGATTCGAAGATAATTTTATTAGATGAAAATAGTAGATACCATCAAAATAGTTACGTAGGAAGCTTAAGGGGATACTAAAGTCGTATATTTTATTAATCGAATACGATTATTTATCTTACACATTTTTTTTTAACTGCCTACACACTAAGATTAAAAAATCTTTTCCACAATTAAAGTATAAACGAGTATACTCTAAATCGACTTTATGTCGAAAATGAAAAATGTTGGAAAATTATAGTTTTGTTGCCTCTGACGTCGACTCGTAATAATATTTGCTTTGTATACAAGTGTTATAAAAACAAGTGTTGTAAAAACAAACTTTCCTACTAGATATCACATAAACAAATGTTGAGTTCTTAGAATTAGGTTCAGATTAGAATATAAAAGACTAGTTATATAGAAAATTTAGAAACTTTGTACATATACGTATGCATTCAACATTGATATATAAAAATATGTAAATGACATGTAAATCGTATGTATGGAAGTCCTGTTGAGTCAATAAAACAGACTTCACGATCTCCTTAATGTTGAAAAATATTGCAAAAAATTATTGATATTGTAGCAACCAATTTGAACATTTCACATAATTATTTTGATGGTTTAACAAAATAATTATGTAGAACTCAAATTGGACGGATAATACTTGAGTGAAATCGTCCTTTCAGTATACGAAGCGACGAGAATGTAAGGCCACCGATCGCCGTCGTCGCCGATGAGCAGACGACTGACGCCGGCGTCTCCGCGCAACGTCGGCGTCTTGTCAGCGCCAGTCGCCGCGCTGCGTTCCATCTCTGGGGTCAACATTCCAGGACGAATTTCAGTTACGATATCGCACGCGAAGGAGTTGCCCCACTCACCGGCGAACACAAAGAAACACCGCGCTATATCGAATGACAAAGGAAACGACTGGGAGACGCCGCGGCGCGTCGCGACGCGCCGGCTACGAATTTTTGGAGAACGCGCGTCGTTGCGCGCTGTTTTTCAAGCTGCCATGACGCAAAGCGTCTCTCGCAACGTACGAGAAAAGTAATCGCGGAAACGAAATATCGCTTCGGAAGTTTCCCGAAGTAACGTTGGTAATAAAAATGACAGTTATACTTTTCTTTTATGCCCATTTTCAATGTAGATTAACTTTAAAATAAAATCGGTTTAACTTACTTAATATCAGTTTCACTTACTTTTTATATCTTTTTCTAGTTTTAGGAATTAGCAAAAGATAGAGAATAAATTATGTTAAAATTATAACTATTAGAAGAAAAAAAAGAATTTTTTTATAATAAATGACAACTCACGTACTTACCAAATTTCATAAGTTGACGACCGTGCTTATTAATATAGAAGCTTAATCTGCAACACAAATTTATTATATATTTATAAATAGAATAAAAGTATATTCTTTTAAAATATCTTTTTCTCTTTTTTTCTTTTCATTTTTTTTTACAATCAACTAAATAATATTAATTTGAGAATGTCGTTGTTGTAACAAATAATTACTTTTCACTGCCAACGAAATCTTCAAGACTTAACTTTCGGAAGTGATGTCTGCAGTTCAAGCGGACCAAGATGGACCTGGGAAAAGTTTTGGCTGCGAAACGACAGATGGAAAGATCGCACTATTTTTTTTATCGTTACATCAATTGTCTAATCGATCATTTAATAAGCGCGTGTATACAAATCTTGCAATTTATGCACGTTACCCGAGAGAAAAATATCGCGAATGTTTAATTGGGATTGCCATGTCAACCTCAATAATACGAGAACGAGGCCGAATAGTTGCAGGTCGAAATGCTAAAAAAGGATCGCGAATGGCATACCATTCGGTTCATGTAGAACCGAAAGAATCGTCGCTCATAAATTTTCTAATTTTAGAAACTCGTTTCGCACGATCCCGTGAACGTAATTTTGTAATAGGTCGCATATAGCCTTCGTCTCGGCGACGGCTTTATGGTTACGGGAGCCTGTAATTTCATTTTTCTAATGATCAAAACACCCCCATAACGTAGCGTGACACGTCGGGCATCTTGAAGTTTCATTATGTTTCTTCCGATATTCCGATGTCCATATTTCGAAGCTGCCCGGTAGCGACGTTTAGAGAAATGAGATTGTGTCAAACCTGTATTAAAATTGGAATTCTTGAGTGAATATAAAATGTCCTAATAAAATGCCAACATATATATACCGATTGAAGATCTGCAATTCAACGGAAGTCACATGATTTATACTATTATAATAAAAGTAAAATTAACGAAGTCATTTGGCCATGGCGATCCAATTTGATGTCGGCTACCTTAAAAACATGAGATTAGATATTCTCGTCGCCATAATTTGCACTTTGCACGAGATCTTGTGAGTCACAAAAAATTAACTAGAAACTATGATTCGATAAATTTCCTTAAAATGTTGGTAATGAATGCGACAGAAGATAGATAGTATGAAATGGTTCGTAGAACAGATTATTTCAGACAGACAAACAAATAATAAGGCGGCATTTTGTGAGAGTGAGATAAATTAAAAATTAGAGGACATATGCATGAAAGGAAAGTGTGCATATATAAAGTGTATAAAGAAATAAAAATATATACATATATAAAAAGAAAATATATTATTCACTTGCTATAATAACGACGTAATTGAAAATTCATTCATTATTTTAATTGTTTTCAGAAAAAGAATAACAAAGAAAAATCGTAGTTTAAAAGAACATTTTGCCATATTAAATTGCATTTCAAAATTAATTTTAATACTTAGAATATTGAAATTAATTAATACTCAGATTATTGAAATTAATTTTCTGAACAATTTTGTTTCTCGAATTATATCGTTGTAACGACATGGTAATATATGTACATATATATATATATATATACATATATATATTTTCTTTTTAGCTTTAATCGACTATGACGGAACAAATCGTAGCGAGCAGTGACAGAAATCACATTTGCCAAACTTCGACGCTAACCTGTCGCTGCTAACCCTCTCTACCTCTCTTTCGCAACGAGTCGCGACGTGGGTCTAGACACGTTATTTCACCCGTCGGAGTCTGCTCCAAAATGATATAGAATTTAGGAAGTTATTTAGTTATGTATGTCTGGCGTCCTGCGTGTGTTGGCTAGTAATCAGACGCCTGGCCTCCGCACGAACGCAATCTCTCTCTCCTTCTCTCTCTTTCATCTCTTTCCGTTTTTACCTTCTTCCCTCGTTCCACATCTCTTGTGCTCTCGTTCCTCGCCCGGAGAGTAAATTCCCCTCGCTCTCCCTTCCGGCTGGTAAAGCTCTTTTAGTAAACTCTTCAGGGCCGTCTGCGTTTCTCGGTGCCTGGATGTCTCGGCCCAATTAAATGTCGATCAAGGCGGCCCTTATAGCCCAAGGTATACGGACGTTGGGAACAAAAAGTATTCGTTTAGCTCGAACGGTAAGAAAGAAACACGGAACAAGAGAGGAGGAGGAGAAAGAGGACGACAGGATGAAGAGTGTCCATATATCCATAACGAGATGCACGAACTTATTCCGACTCGAGAATACAAGGCATCTCTTCAGTAATTCTGTATTTATTCTAGCAAATAGATTTTGCGGAAATAAGGAAAATAAATGAAGATCTTCTTCTAGCAGATGTCATAATATTGAATGATGCATCTTATGCACGCACATTGCACATTCCAAAAGTTTTTTATAAAGTAAAAATAGATTTTTAATTAATTGCAGTATCGAAATTTGCGAACGAAGTATGACTTTTCAAGAACATGAATATTTGTATATCATTTAATATGCACAATTAATTTAACTTAGAAGATGCTTGTTGTACTTATTATTATATTACATTATAATTATTATTATATTACAACGTTATAATTATTATCCATTAATTATGATGCCACCGCAAGATTTAACCTGGATGCAAAGCAGCCTAGGATCGCGCGCGATCGTACTTTTATTTCGTTCTATTTCCAAACGCGAAAATTACTTGCATGCTCGCCACTCCGCGGGACATGGCGCCATTCTTGACATATCGCACCGATGGCACCGCCGGATGGACGACCGTTGTGCTATGCATCAGACGAAACTTTGAGTGTAATATGTCTCGTCGTCAAAATATTTCACTTGAATGAAAGAATTAACTTTCGAAATGTAAACCGTAAAACTCCTAAATAAATAAAAAAATAATAAATTATTAAGCTTGAGATATTATTTCGATGTTTGACGAACATCAGACAGTTTTATGACTATTTTAATTGCGTTCAGCAGAAAAACGCAGCTTTATAACTGCTGTAAAATAAATCTTTAATATAATTGATTTATACATTTAATTCCGGTGAAGAACTAAGGGCAATCATATTAAAGAATTTTACAATAAGAATTGCCATTGCGTGATATATAATCGTCTTATATAAAAATTGAATTATATAAAAAACTGAAAAAATTCTAGTATATCTACTTGTCAAAACTTTAACAAATCTTTACCATCATCGGATTGTATTTTATTTATTTTTTACAAATGTAAATTTACCAGAATTTACAATCAAAGTATTAATAGTGTCTTTAAAGACTACTCTGTGTTTTCAAAGAATTAATTGTTTAAATATATCTATTGAATATTATTAACATAAAGTTGCGTGGAAATTTGTGTTCTTAAAATGTACGTCGCCACACATGAATCGCTTGGAGACGTCGGCGTATAAGCACCGGCGCCTGTTAAAACAATGCAGCATGATAGGAATGTCCGGCTCGCGTAAATAGAATAAGACAAGGACCATCGTCTCCTCCCGAAAGGTTACCATGTCACCTTTCGTTTCGACGAAGTTCTCACTCGCAATGCTCGTGTACTTGTCGTTGCACGACTGCGTCGAAGAGAATTATTAATGAACGTCCGGTAAACTGCCTTCCGCCAATTATCGTTGGTAAACGACGTGCTTTTCCACTTCGCGCAAGATTAACACACGCGCACACTCGTTACTCGTTAGCCACCCGAGTGCGACTAGACACTTGAAATTCTGCGTATCGCGTCGGTTAATCGCGACATGCATTAATTGCGCCTCGCGAACTTGAAAAAAATAACGACGCGATAGATAGGATAAACATTTGCGACGAGTAGCCGTGAAGCTCGACATCTCGGGTCGCCGTAATGAATAGTTAATTTGAATTTACGCGACGTCGAGACTAATAGAAAGATCACGCGAAAAGCGAGAAAAACGCGTCAAGTGAATTCTCTTAGAGTCTTTCCGAGAATACCGCTCGCGCCGAGAGACAGAGGAGTATGATTGACGACGCGCTGACGTTGTCACGCTATTCGCAACGAGGGAGCGGCCTCTCTTGCATGGAAAAACATTTTTAGTCGTCGCATTTTTGCGGCTTAATGATTACGAATACGAGTATGTGCAGAGCGAGAAGGATAGAAGTTTCCCATAGGAATTGGAAGTACTCGTTACTTGTAACCACCGTTATTGTTACAGTTACTTTTTTTTTTTAATGGACCGACAACGGTATTTTTTTTGGTAACTGTAACGATAACATTGTTATATCTTTTTGGTAACAATATTGAATTTTACAGTTATTCTATTATAAACATCAATAATATTGTCCAAAATATATATAACTCTCTAGAGGCCACTTTACTTTTAATTTCTTTGCTACTGTAATGTACATATGCGATCTACAATATAATATGTAGATCATACAATATAATATGTGTGACATATAAAATATTACGGATAGCTGATGCTTTCAGAATCTGTTTTAATTTTAATGGAGAGAAGAACGAATGACGATTTCACCGTTATCTTTCATTCGCTCTCTTTGCGTTTTGTGCTTCTTTGCTGTTAGGATGACGTGACGTTTTACGTTAATTTTACTTGACCGAATGCGGCGTAATTTTTTTGGCCCGGCACCTCGTACTCAAGTGTTTAACTCTACTCCATGGAGGCGCCGATGTCAACGCTCCAAATTCCGCGGGAGAGCGATCGTCGTCGTTCTTCGAAGCGGCGACACGATGAGCGGACTTGCTCACGATTCCACTATAATTCATCTTCCGCGAAGCGCGAAGACGTTTCGGGCTATTCTTGGGGCCGGCACGGAATCTTTTTCAGTCAATCTCCCCGATGGACCGACGTGTTGGAACGTATGTCAGGGATGACCAATCATTCGAGACTTCTAGCTGTTTATCATTATGTGTCACGCGAACGGGTGTTTCTATTAGTGTGTTCGATGAAATAAAAATTTGTAATTAAGCTCTATACATATATATATATAAACTTTACTTACTCGAAGTGTTACGTTAAAAAAATATATTCATTCAAAACTGGAAATTTT